TGTGGCTGTGTGTGTGTGACTGTGTGACTGTGTGTCTGTGTGTGACTGTGTGTGTGGCTGTGTGACTGTGTGACTGTGTGTGTGTCTGTGTGACTGTGTGTGTGACTGTGTGTGACTGTGTGACTGTGTGTGTGGCTGTGTGACTGTGTGATTGTGTGACTGTGTGTGTGTGTGACTGTGTGTGTGTGACTGTGTGTGTGTGTGTCTGTGTGACTGTGTGTGTGTCTGTGTGGCTGTGTGACTGTGTGACTGTGTGGCTGTGTGACTGTGTGTCTGTGTGTGTGACTGTGTGTCTGTGTGACTGTGTGTCTGTGTGACTGTGTGTATGCGTGTCTGTGTGACCGTGTGTCTGTGTGTCTCTGTGACTGTGTGGGGAGTGGTAGTGTAGCGCGCTGCGCTACGAACCCGGCGACCCGGGTTCAATTCCCGCTCACGGCCAACACCGGTGACGATTATCTGAACCGGTCCTGGGCATCTCCTAGGTTGACTCAGCCTCAAATGAGTACCTGGTGCGATGTGTAAACATCGCCATTGGGGAGACAAAGGCGGATGGAGTTGTTCTCATAGGTGCTCGCTAGCAGCACTTGCCCCTACAGTCTGTTCAGGCTATAGGGGGATCTTTGTCCGTGTGACTGTGGGACAGAATGTCTGTGCGTGATGGTGTGACGGTGTGTGTGTGTGACGGTGTATGTGTGTGTGGAGCGGTAGTGTGTGTGCGTGTGATGGTGTGGGAGCGTGTGACGGTGTGTGTGTGAGACGGTGTGTGTGTGAGACGGTGTGTGTGTGTGATGGTGTGGGAGTGTGTGTGTGATGGTGTGAGAGTGTGTGTGTGATGGTGTGGGAGTGGGTGACGGTGTGGGAGTGTGTGTGTGTGTGTGATGGTGTGGGAGTGTGTGTGTGATGGTGTGGGAGTGTGTGTGTGATGGTGTGGGAGTGTGTGTGTGATGGTGTGGAAGTGGGTGACGATGTGGGAGTGTGTGTGTGTTTAACAGTGTGGGAGTGTGTGTGTGTGTAACGGTGTGGGAGTGTGTGTGTGTAACGGTGTGGGAGTGTGTGTGTGTGGGGGAGTGGGTGACGATGTGGGAGTGTGTGTGTGTAACGGTGTGGGAGTGTGTGTGTCTTGTAACGGTGTGTGTGTGTGTGTAACGGTGTGGGAGTGTGTGTGTGTGTGTGTGTAACGGTGTGTGTGTGTAACGGTGTGGGAGTGTGTGTGTGTAACGATGTGTGTGTAACGGTGTGTGTGTAACGGTGTGGGAGTGTGTGTGTGTGTGTCTAACGGTGTGTGTGTGTAACGGTGTGTGTGTGTAACGGTGTGTGTGTGTAACGATGTGTGTGTGTGTAACGATGCGGTGCCGGACGGGCAACTCTGTCGTGGACAGTGCTGTGGGGGGAGTTCCAATTTTGATTGGCTCCTCCCCTCATGGCATATGTGTCCACCACAGGGGCTAAACGGGGGCTCTGGACGGGTGCGAGGGGCTGGTAACCCCTCCACCTTCAATTAATTACCACAAAACCACGAATTAAAGTGAAATATGTAACAACTAAGCTTGTGCCGGAGGCCCCGGGGGGCCAGGCGTCTATGACGTCTCCTGGCCAAACCCCAATTGGCGGAGCCAGGAGATTGAATACCTACCCTCGGGGCTACTCCAGAAACAACGAAAAGCCACTACGGGTGGCCACGTGGAATGTTCGAACGCTCACTGCAGAGGAGAGGCTGCCACTCCTCTGTCGGGAGCTGGACCGGTACCGCCTGGATCTATGCGGCATTCAGGAGGTCCGGTGGACCGGCTCTGGCTCCTGCCACCATGAGGGGTGGACAGTCCTCTACTCGGGGCAGCAGACTGCCAAACAACAGGGTGTGGGTCTTCTTTTGAACAAAAGAATGAAGGGGGCGTGGGAGCGTGGCGGTGAGGTGTGGGAAGCTGTAAGCCCCAGGCTACTTTGGGCTCGCCTTCCCATCAACCGGAGGCGAGGAATGGTGGTCGTGGTTACTTATGCCCCCACCGAAGATGAACATCCGTGGAGGGATGCAGGCAAAGCCGATGAGTCAGATGCCTTCTATGACCTCCTGTCACAGGTGCTGGCTAAAGTGGCCCCTCGGGATAGAGTCATCATGTTGGGTGACTTCAATGCCCGAGTTGGTCATGATACTGGCACCTGGTCTGGAGTGATTGGAGGGCATGGGCCAGATCAGCTCAATAACAACGGTAGGAGGCTGCTAGATTTTTGTGCAGCCCATGGGCTTGTAATTACCAACACGCTGTTCCGGCATCGGCGCATCCACACAACATCATGGATGCATGCCGGGTCCAAGCAAGAACATCTGCTGGACTACATAGTGACGGACCAGCGAATGCGAGCCCATGTCCTTGACACCAGGACCTACCGTGGAGCTGATCTGCCCTCTGACCATCGACTAGTCATCTGTAAGATGCGCCTGCCATTCTTCCACTCCGGTGGTGGGTGTACACCCAGGACCCCATTCCAACCTAAAGTGGCCTGGTCTCAGTTATCTGATGAAAGTTGCAAGCGAGAATTTCATCATCGCTTGCGGCTGGGATTGGCATCGTCCCCGACTCCTCCTGATGTCGAGGGTAAATGGGCGAGGTTTAGGACTGTGACTCATGCAGCTGCAATGGCTGCTTTGGGTACGCGGTCCAGACCTCCCCAGACACCCTGGATGACAGAGGAGTTGTTCAGGATGGTTGAGAAAAAGCGACAGGCCCACTGTCATCGGCTACAGAATCCCACGTCAGAGAATGAGGAGGCTTACCGCAGCCTTCGCTCGGAGGTTCGGAGAGCCGTGAGGCGCTGCAAGGATGGGTGGTGGTCGCGGGTTGCTGAGGAGATGGAGTCTGCCTCAGTGGCCCGTGATCACAAATCGCTATTTAACTCCATCAAAAAAGTAACCTGCAGCGCCACACCTATTACCATCATTAGGGGAAAAAACGGTGATCCAATTTCCGACCCCCAGGAACAGGTTCGCAGATTTGCTGAGCATTTCTGTGAGGTCCTGGGGGAGGGAAAATCCCACAGCCAGGAAAACATCGTGGCACAAAGTGAGGATGACCCTGCTGAGGCTGCGGTGCCTCAAATATTGGATGAAGTCACCCCCTGTGAGTGGCTGGCTGAGGTGCCATCTGCTGAGGAAGTATTGAAGGCGATCCGGAGTCTGAGACCAGGAAAGGCAGCGGGCAGAGATGATCTCCCAAGCGAAATGCTGAGGGAGGGTGGCGTTTGTGCACAGACTGCCCTATATGACATCATAACAACAGTCTGGACCACTGGACGGGTTCCGCAGGATTGGAAGGATGCCCTGGTGGTCCCCCTTTTTAAGAAGGGGGACCGCACAGACTGTAACAACTACAGGGGCATCTCACTCCTCAGTGTGCCGGGAAAGGTCCTGGCAAGGATTATTCAGCATCGCCTTGCCAGGCACGCTGAGGAGAGGCTTGCGGAGCCCCAATGCGGTTTCAGGAAAGGGCGGTCCTGCACAGATGCCATATTTTCTGTCCGTCTGCTACAGCAGAGGTGTAGGGAATTCCAACAAGACCTACATCTCTGCTTTATTGACCTGGTCAAGGCCTATGATACCATCAGTAGGCCTGGGCTCTGGGTCGTTCTTCGTGCTTTTGGAGTACCTGACCCTCTGCTCACGATCATTAAGGACCTTCATGATGGTGAGCGGGCCCGGGTAAAACTACGTGGCCGGGAGTCAGAGCCATTCCCTGTACACCTTGGGGTGCGACAGGGATGTCCTCTGGCTCCCACATTATTTAACATCTATTTTGACCACGTAGTTCGTGAAGCCTTCAATAGCTGTACCGGGGGAATCTCCATATGGTACAGATATAATGGGAGGCTAATCGATGCCCGGGTGCGGTCAAGGGATGGCTCCCTATTGCTCAACCACGTTATGTATGCTGATGACTTGGTAATAGCTGCTCAGTCAGAGGAGGAGTTGGAGACGCTGCTGCTGAGACTGGAGCGTGCCACTAAGAGGTGGGGCCTTACCATCAGCCCCACCAAAACTAAGCACCTGCCTGGGTATTTTGTACCATCGGACACTCCACCCCCACAACTCCCAATCGGTGATGGGGCAGTTGTGGAGAGAGTGGAGAGTTTCCCATACCTGGGCAGTGTGCTTATGACTGGCTCCAGTTTAACAGCAGAGGTCTCACTCCGAATCAGTCGAGCGGCAATATCTTTTCATCGGTTGCGTAACGCTGTGTGGAAGCTACCTGGTCTGTCGCTCCGCACTAAGCTTCAGGTCTTCTCGGCCACGGTCATTCCCTCCCTTCTCTACGCTTGCGAAACGTGGACCCCCCTAATGGAACATCTTCGCCGGTTAGAAACATTTAGGCTGACCTGCCTACGATCCATCCTGGGTTTAACCAGACTGGATTGTGTGAGGAGCTCACAAATCCTTGAAAGATCTGGGCAGGGTCCCATCGGTGAGCTCCTCCGGCAGGCAAGGCTGCGATGGCTGGGTCATGTAGCCCGCATGCCCAGCCACCGCATGCCGAAACAGCTTTTGTTTGGCCGGATTGAGGGGGCTAAGCGGGCGCGGCACGGGCTAGAGAAGAGATGGAGTGATGTGGTACAGGAGGACGTGGAGCTGAGTGGACTTGCCGATGACTGGTACCAGCGGTGTCAAGATCGGCCTCTGTGGAGGAGGCTCGTGAAGGATGCTACTGGGCAGTTGGAGGCAGTCGCCCTCCAACAACAACGGAGGGCGGAGGAGCGACGCTCACAACAGCGAGCGGAGCGCCGGGTGGCTAAAGCACAGCAGGTTGGCACAGTAGGGGGCACAGGTGGTGCATCAGCCAGTCATCTCAGTCAGTCGACCCGTGGCACCTGGGTCTGCCCCGTGACCTCCTGCCAGCGGGCGTTCGACACTTCACGTGGCCTCAGGGTGCACATAGCCTGGCACAAGCGTCGTGGTGACGTCACCGCCACTTAGTGGCGAATGGCGGTTGTTGTTGTTGTTGTGTGTATAACGATGTGTGTGTGTGTGTGTAACGGTGTGGGAGTGTGTGTGTGTAACGATGTGTGTGTGTGTGTGGGGGAAGTTGCGTATAAAACACGGAGGAAGCGCGAGGGAATTTGGCTAAGTGGATCCGGGCTCTCTGCTCTCACATGGTCGTCTCCTCCCACTCCAGCTCCACGTCGCCTGCGTGTGCGTGTGTGTGCGTGTGTGTGTGCGTGCGTGCGTGTGTGTGCGTGCGCGTGCGTGCGCGTGCGTGCGCGTGCGTGTGTGTGTGTGTGCGTGCATGGGGAGACAAGGTAAACACAACATATTAGTGTAGGGGCCACAACAAACACCTTTCGGAGACCCAAGGTGAACGGGGAAATGGCTCCGACTCCCGGCCACGCAGCGTTGGCCTGGCTGTGCCCCAGCCCATCACGAAGGCCGTTCGTCATTGTGAGCAGAGGGATGTCAGCGTCCCCCGAAACCGCGAAGAATCAAACCCCAGAGGCTCTCATCTATTCGTGGTATCACAGCGCCGTGACGGCGCGCGACTGCCCCCGACTGCCCCCGACTGCCCGCGACTGCCCTCGACTGCCCCTGACTGCCCCCGACTGCCTCCGACTGCCCCCGACTGCCTCCGACTGCCCTCGACTGCCCCCGACTGCCTCCGACTGCCCGTGACGGCGCGCAACTGCCCCCGACTGCCTCCGACTGCCCGCGACCGCCCTCGACTGCCCCCGACTGCCCGTGACGGCGCGTGCACCTTCGAGTCCGTCGAGCGAATCGAGCTTGTGCAGCGCGCGGTGGCTGAGGAACCACTGCGTGCGGCTGCCCTTGCCACCGCCGGTCAGCAGATCAACGGCGCACTGGTGCAGGAACATGTATTGAGCCTGCGGCACGGGGGGGTGGTGGAGAAGGGGGAGTGGTGAGCGTTGAGCGGTGAGGGAGAGCGGTGAGGGCGAGCGGTGAGGGAGAGCGGTGAGGGAGAGCGGTGAGTGCCCGACAGCGGAGAGATACAAAGGGGGGCGCCTGTCGCGGTGGTGTGGTCGCGGTCTAGAGATGGTATGGTGGTGGTGGTTGTGGTGACGGTGCTTTTGTGGTGTTGGCGATGGCGTGGTTGTAGTCTCGTGATGGTATGGTTGTGGTGGTTGTGTTGTGGTTGTGGTCTAGTGTTGGTGTGGTTGATGTGTTGTGGTAGTGATATGGTTGTATTGTAGTTGTGGTGGTTGTGGTGTGGTTGTGATCTAGTGTTGGTGTGGTTGTGATATGGTTGTATTGTAGTTGTGGTTGCTGTGGTGGTTGTGGTGGTGGTGGTGATTGTGTGACTCTGGGCCTGTGTGCTATGGCCAGCACTGTGTGATGCGCAGAAATTAGGCGTGCGGAGTTAAATTCTCGTATCATTAAGAATCGCTCAGAAGCATGACAATTTACAAGAGAATCGCCGGGGATCACGGAGATTCATACACAATCACAGAGAATCACTGGGAATCACGGAGAATCACAGAGAATCACGGGTTATCAAGGAGAATCGCTGGGAACAACGGACAATCACGAAGAATCACGGAGAATCACGGCGAATCGGAGATAATCACGGAAATCTCTGGGAATCACGGGGAATCTCAGAGAATCGTGGAAAAAAGCTGGGCATCACAGCGAATCACTGTGAATCACGGACAATCACGGAGAATCACGAAGAACCACTGGGAATTATGGGGAATCATGGATAATCACGGAGAATCGCGAATTATCACTGGGAATCACGGCAAATCGCTGGGAATCACGGAAAATCACAGATAATCACAGATAATCACTGGGAATCACGGACACTCGTTGGGAATCACGGTGTGTTGCGGGTGTTGTGCGGGTGGTGGCGTGTGTCGTCCCGACTGGCTCACCACGTTCTGGACCATGCCGGTGCGCTGGTGGCGCAGGTCGGCGACGAGGCCGAACACGTCGATGGAGTCGCGGTCGGCCACCAGCTGCACGAGGTGATCCACGGCGACGAACACGCCGGTGCGGCCCACGCCGGCACTGCCAAACAAAACCCGGCACCGCCGGTGTAAGCCTCGGCAGGCTCGTCGGCGAGCGGCTATCGTTGGGGGCTCTTGACTTAAAGATTTCGTGACTGCAGGAATTCGTATTCTTTGGGTCTTTCGGTAAAGTCAAGTAGATAGGTTCAAATTCATCTTATGGTTCGATGGAAATCATCCCCGCGGAGGTGGTTAAATCTTAACTTAAAGATTTCGTGACTGCAGGAATTAATCTTCTTTGGGTCGTAATTTTCGCTCAACCTATGCACGTGACCTATCCACGTGACCTATCCACGTGACCTATCCACGTGACCTATCCAAGTGCCCTATCCACGTGACCTATCTACGTGACCTATCTACGTGACCTATCCACGTGACCTATCCACGTGACCTATCCACGTGACCTATCTACGTGACCTATCCATGTGACCTATCCACGTGACCTATCCAAGTGCCCTATCCACGTGACCTATCCACGTGACATATCCACGTGACCCATCCACGTGACTTGAACGAAAGACCCAAAGAATATCGTAGGGGACGTTTCGTTTTTCGCGGTTATTTTTTTAAATATTTATTTTCATTTAATTTGCCAGTATCAAAACGGGATGAGATGGAGGAATCATAGGGGTCGATTATTTTTTTTTGTTTTTTACCCCTTTTCTGGCAATGCGAGGCGATGGGTGGTGCGCTAAGGAGGCGTTCAAACAATTCACGTTCATCATCGGAGCCAGGGGCGACATTCTGCCTGTAAGTGTACGACGCTCTGTCTGGCGGACTCCGTGCCAACTGCATTGTCAGAGCGTGTGTCCGCCAACCGATGGCGTCTACTAGTTCAACAGCCTGACTCTCTCTCTAAATCATTCTTGAAATTAACATTTGTTGAACGTCACCCCGGCCTGAAATCCTGGCTCCGCCCCCTGATCGGAGAAATGTTTTTGTTTGCACGTTCACGGCAAGAAGTATGACTTGGTAGTCATACTTGATTCCCTTGCAAAAGGTATCGTCTATTTATGGTGATGACCTGTTTTTTGCGAATATTAAAATATGATAGATAAGAGTCGGTGCTTTCACCGGTTTCCTGGCGATAGAACGGGAGTGGTAAGATGTTCAAACACCGAATCGACGATACCTTTTGCAGGGAATCAAGGGACTGCGCATTAACCACACGCAGCACCTCTGGTAATAGATCACGCCTCGTCTTTGAAACTCATTGTAAGCAGAGCTCACCTGCAGTGCACCACCTGTGCCCCCCCCTTCCTCACCTGCAGTGCAACACCTGTGCCCCCCCTCACCTACAGTGCACCACCTGTGCCCCCCCTCCCCCCTCACCTACAGTGCACCACGAGGGGCCCGGCGTCTCGGCCGCGAGCGGCTCGCACGGCGAGGACGAAGCGGACGATGGCGGCGCTGGCGTCGGCGCCGGCGAACTCGGGCCAGGCGGACAGCGCCAGGTGGTGCACACAGCGAGACTCGCCCAGCTGCACGCGGCGCGAGGAGATGGCAGGCGGCGGCGGCGGCGGGGGGGGGGAGTCGCACCGCAACAGGACAAACGGCGGGGTCTCTAGCTGAGTATATGGGGCGCTGTGTGAGTGAGTCTATGGGTCTCTGTGTGAGTGAGTCTATGGGTCTCTGTGTGAGTGAGTATATGGGTCTCTAGCTGAGTCTGGGGGTCTCTGTGTGGTGAGTCTATGGGTCTCTGTGTGAGTGAGTCTATGGGGCACTGTGTGAGTGAGTCTATGGGTCTCTGTGTGAGTGAGTCTATGGGTCTCTAGCTGAGTCTGGGGGTCTCTGTGTGAGTGAGTCTATGGGTCTCTAGCTGAGTCTGTGGGTCTCTGTGTGAGTGAGTCTATGGGTCTCTGTGTGAGTGAGTCTATGGGGCACTGTGTGAGTGAGTCTATGGGTCTCTGTGTGAGTGAGTCTATGGGTCTCTGTGTGAGTGAGTCTATGGGTCTCTAGCTGAGTCTGGGGGTCTCTGTGTGGTGAGTCTATGGGTCTCTGTGTGAGTGAGTCTATGGGTCTCTAGCTGAGTCTGGGGGTCTCTGTGTGAGTGAGTCTATGGGTCTCTGTGTGAGTGAGTCTATGGGTCTCTAGCTGAGTCTGGGGGTCTCTGTGTGAGTGAGTCTATGGGTCTCTATGTGAGTGAGTCTATGGGGCTCCGTGTGAGTGAGTCTATGGGTCTCTAGCTGAGTCTGGGGGTCTCTGTGTGAGTGAGTCTATGGGTCTCTAGCTGAGTCTGGGGGTCTCTGTGTGGTGAGTCTATGGGTCTCTGTGTGAGTGAGTCTATGGGTCTCTATGTGAGTGAGTCTATGGGTCTCTAGCTGAGTCTGGGGGTCTCTGTGTGAGTGAGTCTATGGGTCTCTATGTGAGTGAGTCTATGGGTCTCTAGCTGAGTCTGGGGGTCTCTATGTGAGTGAGTCTATGGGGCTCCGTGTGAGTGAGTCTATGGGTCTCTAGCTGAGTATATGGGGCGCTGTGTGAGTGAGTCTATGGGTCTCTGTGTGAGTGAGTCTATGGGGTCTCTGTGTGAGTGAGTCTATGGGTCTCTGTGTGAGTGAGTCTATGGGTCTATGTGTGAGTGAGTCTATGGGTCTCTGTGTAGTGGTGAGTCTATGGGTCTCTGTGTGAGTGAGTCTATGGGTCTCTAGCTGAGTCGGGGGGTCTCTGTGTGAGTGAGTCTATGGGTCTCTAGCTGAGTCTGAGGGTCTCTGTGTGAGTGAGTCTATGGGTCTCTAGCTGAGTCTGTGGGTCTCTGTGTGAGTGAGTCTATGGGTCTCTGTGTGAGTGAGTCTATAGGTCTCTAGCTGAGTCTGGAGGTCTCTGTGTGGTGAGTCTATGGGGCTCTGTGTGAGTGAGTCTATGGCTCCCTGTGTGAGTGAGTCTATGGGTCTCTGTGTGAGTGAGTCTATGGGTCTCTGTGTGAGTGAGTCTATGGGTCTCTGTGTGAGTGAGTCTATGGGTCTCTGTGTGAGTGAGTCTATGGTTCTCTGTGCGAGTGAGTCTATGGGTCTCTGTGCGAGTGAGTCTATGGGTCTCTGTGCGAGTGAGTCTATGGGTCTCTGTGTGAGTGAGTCTATGGGTCTCTGTGTGAGTGAGTCTATGGGTCTCTATGCGAGTGAGTCTATGGGTCTCTGTGCGAGTGAGTCTATGGGTCTCTATGTGAGTGAGTCTATGGGTCTCTGTGTAAGTGAGTCTATGTGTCTCTATGCGAGTGAGTCTATGGGGTCTCTGTGTGAGTGAGTCTATGGGTCTCTGTGTGAGTGAGTCTATGGGTCTCTATGCGAGTGAGTCTATGGGGTCTCTGTGTGAGTGAGTCTATGGGTCTCTGTGCGAGTGAGTCTATGGGTCTCTATGCGAGTGAGTCTATGTGTCTCTGTGTGAGTGAGTCTATGTGTCTCTCTGCGAGTGAGTCTATGGGTCTCTGTGTGAGTGAGTCTATGGGGTCTCTGTGTGAGTGAGTCTATGGGTCTCTATGCGAGTGAGTCTATGGGTCTCTATGCGAGTGAGTCTATGGGTCTCTATGCGAGTGAGTCTATGGGGTCTCTGTGTGAGTGAGTCTATGGGTCTCTATGTGAGTGAGTCTATGGGTCTCTATGCGAGTGAGTCTATGGGTCTCTATGCGAGTGAGTCTATGGGGTCTCTGTGTGAGTGAGTCTATGGGGTCTCTATGTGAGTGAGTCTATGGGTCTCTATGCGAGTGAGTCTATGGGTCTCTGTGCGAGTGAGTCTATGTGTCTCTGTGTGAGTGAGTCTATGTGTCTCTGTGTGAGTGAGTCTATGGGTCTCTATGCGAGTGAGTCTATGGGTCTCTGTGCGAGTGAGTCTATGTGTCTCTGTGTGAGTGAGTCTATGGGTCTCTGTGTAAGTGAGTCTATGTGTCTCTATGCGAGTGAGTCTATGGGGTCTCTGTGTGAGTGAGTCTATGTGTCTCTATGCGAGTGAGTCTATGGGGTCTCTATGTAAGTGAGTCTATGGGGTCTCTGTGTGAGTGAGTCTATGGGTCTCTGTGTGAGTGAGTCTATGGGGTCTCTGTGCCAGTGAGTCTATGGGTCTCTATGCGAGTGAGTCTATGGGTCTCTGTGTGAGTGAGTCTATGGGTCTCTATGCGAGTGAGTCTATGGGTCTCTATGCGAGTGAGTCTATGGGGTCTCTGTGTGAGTGAGTCTATGTGTCTCTGTGTGAGTGAGTCTATGGGTCTGTGCGAGTGAGTCTATGGGGTCTCTATGTGAGTGAGTCTATGTGTCTCTATGTGAGTGAGTCTATGTGTCTCTATGTGAGTGAGTCTATGGGTCTCTATGCGAGTGAGTCTATGGGTCTCTATGCGAGTGAGTCTATGCGTCTCTGTGTGCGAGTGCCAGCGGAGTCCCGCGCCCTCACCCGCTCGACGCGCAGCTCGCGGGTGACCCACTCGGGGTGGACCGACTCCGTGATCTTGGTGATGACGATGTCGCCAAACACAGCGACCGGCGTGCACTCCTCCGGCCAGTACTGGTGGCAGCGGATCTGGGCACCGTCCCACGGCAACATCGTTAACATCATCACTATCATCATCACCATCATCACCATCATCACCATCATCACCGTCACCCTCGTCGTCGTTGACATCGTTAGCATCATCACCACCACCACCATCATCACCACCATCACCATCACTACCGTCACCCTCGTCGTCGTTGACATCGTTAATATCAACATCACCACCATCATCATCATCACCATCATCACCGTCACCCTCGTCGTCATTGCCATCGTTAATGTCACCAACACCACCACCACCACCATCACCACCGTCACCCTAACCCTCGTCGTCATTGACATCGTTAGCATCATCACCACCATCACCACCATCATCACCATCGTCACCGTCACCCTCGTCGTCGTTAACATCACCACCACAATCACCCATCATCATGCTTTGACGTTGACATCGGTAGCATCGGCACCATGCACACGCCAACAACATCACCAACAACATCACCAATAACATCACCAACAACATCATCATCGTCGTTAAC